CATTGCTGCAAACTGTCATGGTTGGTGCTGTGTGGCAGGCAGGATGTAGGACCCAAACGCAGGACACTCAGATGGAGGAATAAACTCAAAACGACAGCCTTTATTGCTGGGAAACATTAAACACACACACTAAACATTAAATACAAAACTAAACTGGAAAAAAGAAACTTCAACTAGAAACCAAAACCAAAACCTTGAACATTAAAACTAGGACCAAACTGGACTCAAGAAACTAAGAAACATGAACAAGGGAAACGTCCCAGGAACTTAAACTAAATCAGAAACATGAGAGAAACACAGCAGTGAGAATGTACAACATGACATAGAACAAGGAAAACAAAGAGCTTAAATACAAGAGGCAGAAACGGGGGAATAGGAAACAGGAGGGAACACAGCTGAGCCTAATCAGACATAACAAGACCAAAGGGATGCAAAACATTAACAAAGGGCACAGACTGTCAAAGTAAAAGAGGAAACATTAGACAATTCACAAAGATGCAGACTAGACAGTAAGATGTGGAAACATGACAGACCTGGAAACAGAGGAAACATGAAGCACAGAGACAAAAACTAACCAGACGTGGAACACAGAGAAGGTACAGAAAACTGAAACTAGAAGCTAGAAAAAAGCAACAAATTTAACATGAACAGAAAACCATCAAGACAAGTCAAAACCATGAATAACATAAATCGTGGAATATAAATTAAACACAAAACACAAACCACTAGGTCTCTGACCCAGTACAGGGAAACAAAAAGCTTTAAATTGTTAACCCATTTTGTGTTCCCTGAAAAAGGCCTTTTTTTGGGTAATTCTGAAATGTACATAATTATTCAGTTTTGGATAACCTTAGCTTTTCTTTTTCTTTTTTCTTTTTTTACCCCTGGCAGTTCAATACTTAAATTTGTACCATTTCAAGCTATTCAGTTCAAATCAATTCAGTTCAATTCAACAAAACTATTGATCTCAAAGATTGGCCCCGAAGGAAATTGGGTTAAGGCTGCCGACCTGTTGCCAGCCTGCCAATCTTACCCTTCCTGACCATACATACATTACACAAAACATCACATGGGGAAGACAGGTCAGAGAGGTATAACAATGGAAAATGCACAACATGAGGAAAGATAAGGAGAAAAAAATAACTCCCCCCAGACTGAGCTCCAACAGGGAGATCAGTTTGAGAACAGAAAAAAAACACCTCTGCACATCACATGATACACATCTCACAACATAGAAAACATAAGCTTCGAAGGCGTTTGGAGGGGGTGGGGGGTGAGTGTAGGTCTGTGTCAGTGTACATGCGTTGTGTGTGTGTGTGTGTGTGTGTGTGTGTGTGTGTGTGTGTGTGTGTGTGTGTGTGTGTGTGCGAGAGAGACAGTGTATGTGCAAGCTTTTGAAGTGTCTATGTGTGCTGTGTCATGCATGGAGCCGATGAATGGGATTAGATATGGCTAACAGCTCAGCACTGGCCCTAACTGGCTTGAACAAGGCAGAGTTACACACACACACACACACACACACACACAACCACAAACACATTTGTGTGCATTTATGAGAACCTGCACTAAATGTACACTCCCGAGAACCATTAAAGCTTTTGGCGCCAGGGGGGCCGCATGAGATGAAGATGGAAGTTGTTTTGGTTAGTGCGAACAAACTACATCCAATTTTACAGTGGTCTAATGTCCGTCACTGGTCAACAGGTCTCTCAGTTCCCATTGCAGAGCCATGAGCTTCTCCAAGGTCTTATCCATATTGCGTTCAAAAACACAGTCTGAGTACTCACAGCCCTGCCATCGTCTATCATGTCGGCCAGCCTTGTGGGATTTTGAACAGCTGTAGCCGCTTCTTGTTCTTCGATAAGCCAGGTCAGCCAGCTCCAATCAGCCAGAACTCTGTTATCGTGGTTCCGAATTGGTAGATGTCGTTCAATGTCCTCCATCGAGAGTGTCGCCAGACACAGACGCAACCACCATAGTATAAAATATATATATATATATATTATATATATATATATATATATATATATATATATATAATTATAGTATTATATATATAATATATATACTATATATATATATATATAATATATATAAATATCTTAAACTTTATGATATGTGAAGCTAAAATTTCAAGAACAATTATCATGAATTATTTATATGTTGCAGCACTTAGATTAAAAGAAATTGAAACCAGTGTAGCTTCGTGAGTCTGCCTTTATCTTCTGTACATATATAGACATGGTTCATGGTTACACGTTTGCACATAGTCTCACACAGCTCTTGTTGGGCACACTGCATTATGGTGAGTGGCCTGGCATATTTACGCCTGCTAGAGGTGCTCATTTCAGGAGATACTGCCTCTTGTGGTGTAACGGAGGAATAACTACCCTTCCAGCACTATCTCTCATTAGAGACAGGGGCACACATTATTTTACAACAAATAAAGAAAATAACATATTTGAACAATCGGAACATTTTAACCAAACATTGTAAATAAAAGATTTTGGGGAAGGGGGGTCTTGTTTTTGTCAGTAATGCCTTTCTTACCCTTACATATAAACGTTAACATTTTCCACCATACAATATATGCAAATTGGAGATAGTTGAGGACAATAATTGTTTGGTTGGAGACAGAATGACCAATATGAGTTTATTTCAGAGTACTTTGGCTTTTAGTTTCACTGATCATCTCTTTTCTCATGCTCTCCTGCAGGCCATGTTTGAGACCTTCAACACTCCTGCCATGTATGTGGCCATCCAGGCAGTGCTGTCCCTGTACGCCTCTGGTCGTACCACTGGTATTGTCACGGACTCCGGTGACGGTGTGACCCACACTGTGCCCATCTATGAAGGCTACGCTCTGCCCCATGCCATCCTCAGATTGGACCTGGCTGGCAGGGACCTCACAGACTACCTTGGTAAAATCCTCACTGAGAGGGGCCACAACTTTACCACCACAGGTGAGCACATGGACACAGTCAAGAGAAGATGTGTAAAACTAGGAAAAAATTTAAAAATCAAAATAAAAAGTTGGGGGTTTTCTTGTCTCACAGCTGAGCGTGAGATTGTGCGTGACATTAAGGAGAATCTGTGCTATGTTGCCCTGGACTTTGAGAGAGAGATTGAAAGAGCTGCCTGCTCTTCGTCATTGGATAAGAAGTATGAGCTGCCTGATGGACAGGTCATCACTATTGGGAATGAGAGGTTCCGTTGCCCAGAGGCTCTCTTCCAGCCCTCATTCCTTGGTAAGCAGCATCAGCTTTAAGATAGATTTCCGTGATTTGTAAAAAGTAGTCCTTAGCAAGGCTAACCTTAACCCCAAACTTTCCAACTCTCCACAGGTATGGAGTCTTGTGGTATCCATGAAACTACCTTTAACAGCATCATGAAGTGTGACGTTGACATCCGTAAGGACCTGTACGCCAACACTGTGCTGTCTGGAGGTACCACCATGTACCCTGGCATTGCTGACCGCATGCAGAAGGAGATCACTTCACTGGCACCCAAAAACCTAAAAATCAAGGTAAAGTTATTGCTTCTTATGTACTCTTTCATACTCACTCTTTTTTTAAAGGTGCTTCACTTTCACACGAACAAGGTATTTAACACTGTGCTGAATTTGTATGTCTGGCAGAATGTAAGTGCACTTCCTAAAAGTCTTCATTGCTGAACCCTCTTCATCTCTGCCCTTGCAGATTATTGCTCCCCCAGAGAGGAAGTACTCTGTATGGATTGGAGGCTCCATCCTGGCTTCTCTGTCCACCTTCCAGGACATGTGGATCAGCAAGCAGGAGTACGATGAGTCCGGCGCCAGCATCGTCCACAGAAAGTGCTTCTAGATAGACCGCCCTCAACCTACCAAAGCACACACTGCTACAAACCCCATAGTGACTGGCTCTGCATGCATGTCTACATCACCAGAATGATGTATGCCGAGCTTACACCTCTTCCATTTTTAATTCATCACTCTGGGTATGGTACCATGCACCCTGATGGGGAGAAATTCTTCCGCCTGAATTTATTTCCAAAATTAAGCCCATTGATATTGGAAAAGTTTGTATGATAACACTCAGTACATTAATAAATTCATAAATCAAGCAAAATTCTATTACTTTTTTTGTTCTGCCTAATTTGCACAACTTCTGTTTTTTGCTTCACTATTACTTTATTATTACACATATGCTTTCACACTAATGCTCTTATTAACTATGAGTATTCTTCCCAGTGAAATCTGGAAAATCTACATCTTACAGATTGAACAATTTTATAATATAGTGAAATGCAGAGATTGGGTTAAGCTTCGTGAAGATGTATTTGACAAATTTTGGGGTGTAAAACACAACACTGAACACTGATTGAAAGTAGAGACGCATTTCCTCTGAGTACTTTGCTAGTTTTATTCATAGCCACCTGCTACAATGAATGGAGGGAAAGACTTTATCTTATTTTTCTGCAAATATTGATTTATAAAGATGAATTAATAGCACAATGTTAAGGTAAAAGCCGTGCTCTAATGACTTAATTTTGTTTTCTGTATTAGTATTTTTTTTATCAGCAGACTTTTCTTTTTCTTAGAGATGCACTGTATTTAGGTGATTAATGAGGGTTTCTTTTATTTTAATGCAAATAATTAATGCAAATATTTGTAAATGACGATCATTTTGTCTTTTGTCAGTGTCTGTTTACATTTCTGTAATAACAACATCTTTGTCAATAAAATCAGTGAATAACTGTGGTAAATAATCGTGATCTCAATATTGGACAAAATATTCACGATTGCCATTTTGGTAATCAAGTGCAAGCATCAGTGGTGCTCAGCATGTAGAAATATAGGTGAAAAAAAAAAAGAAAAAGAAATATAGGTGACCAGCTAAATAAAGCTCGCTTTTCGTTCAAACACAACTCTACTCTCCGCATCTGCATCTGAGTTGTGAAATCAACACAATCGGAGCACCCCGCCGTGACACTATAGATAAATGTATAATTGCTATTTTGAGTGGCTGTAGCTCAGGTGGTAGAGCAGGTCACCTACTAACCAGAAGATTGGTGATTCTATATCTGTCTTTAAAAAAATTTAATGTCTCCCTTAAGCATTTATACTAATTAAGCTATCCAGAATACAGATACACCATTTATCTATTCTTTTTGTACTGCTCATCTGGAGCTGGGCTTCAGCAGCCTAAGAAGAGATATTCTTGCCTCCTACCTCTCAGCCACCTCCTGCTGATCACTGAGACATTCCCAAGCAGATCTGTAACCTCTCCAGTCCCGGGTCTACTCTGGGGCCACGTCCCAGCCTCACACCAGGTTATTTTTTTTTCAGGTAATGTTTTTTGTTTGTATCAAATGTTCCAAAAGGCATCGTCAGCATTGGGATTATTAGCAGAAATTAGACGTGGCATGCTCTAATTGGTTCAAGCTTCTTGTGTCAGACAGTCTCCAGTCTTCAGATAGATTAGTTGTAAAGAAGAAAAGATAAACAAGCCATGGTATAGATGTTTTAAAGGCAGAAACTATCCATACAGGCCAAAAACTTTTTTGTGCCATGTAAATGTATGTGAAAGCATATAAATATGCTTTAAAATACTGTTGAGTTGGACAGTTTCACCTGTTTGTCTGTGGGGATTGTCTCCCCTCAGGTGGCCACTATGGGAATTGAAGGAAGCCGTTTGGGCCAGATTGAAGTCTTTGTTTGGATCATGGAGACAGGTAACTCATTTGCCACCATTTGATGTTTTAACAACAGAAACGTTACCCTTATAATTATTGATGAAATGAACTATGCAGTTGTCTGAGTGATGTAACAAATGCAGTAGGCAGTGTACTGTATGTGTGTGTGGTTTTTCTCTTTTAAACAGATGCTCTGATAAACCTCACTTGTTGTCACTTTTTACTAGAAGAGCATGTTAAAGACTTCAGCTCAATCAGTTAAACATATGGTGTTGTTAAAGCTTATAAAGTTACCAAGAAGTCCCTTGAAATCTTTGCAAAATAAAACACTTGGCTATGGAAGGACTGATCATAGAAGAGGGGGACATACTTTTTAGCTGTCACAGCCTGATAAAATGTGTAACACTGAAGTAAGACAGAGAGTGGTTACAAAGAGGAGATGGATTTTGGTACACTATAGGTCCAACCACAAACCTCCAGAAGATAACGAAGGTGAGCAAAACAGTTACGTAACAAAACAGTTATATAACTAAAACGTATTTTTCTCTATAGTGTTATAATTTTGTTTACCAATTTCCATTTTATTAAAGGAAGATCGGAATTATTTATCTAGCAGACAATCATTTGCATTAGTAACTTGAACTACATAAATAAAAGATATTTTACTGATTTTGCTTGAAATTGATATTAAAATGTATTCACTTTACTTTCAAAACGATACAATAGCGGGGTTTTCCAACATTCTAGGTTTATGCCACGAACATAGATCAGTAATGAGCAGCACACCAACGAATGAAAAGAAACTATCTGATTTGGAGTCGCGCGGTCCTTTGCAGAACACAACAAAGTTGCGGTTCCTCGTGAGCGCGCTTTAGGGGACTGGGATACAATTATTGTCAGAGGTACTGCTTTGGCCTAATACCTATTAGAACTACACCTAACAGAGCCACACCTGTGCAGCTATATTTACAGAATACAGTCAGAACATTTCCTGCAAAAGATAACTTATACAGCTGAGATTTTATATTAAAAGGTTATATGGAGACAAAACATTAAACTGTGGAGCATTCCACTGGCATTTCAGTTTGCCAGAATTTTTTTTCATTACAGAGCAGAGTCTGCATTTTAACCACGTGGACCGAGAAATATGAACACGTCTCACATATGTCACTGATCGTGCTGTTTATGTAGAAAGAAAGAAAGAAAGAAAGAAAGAAAGAAAGAAAGAAAGAAAGAAAGAAAGAAAGAAAGAAAGAAAACATTTTTTAAGAAGGAAGAAATTAGTCACATGGGTTACTCTGTCACGGTGACAGAACGAATAGGAGTGTTTAGGTAGTTCAGTAGTATTTTGTAAGTATGTTTCGTTTTATAAATACCGAATACAGATCGTGTTCAAAATAAGACACCGGATTCAAAATAGATGATACAATGTGTGTGTGTGTGTGTGTGTGTGTGTGTGTGAGAGAGAGAGAGAGATGAGAGAGAGAGAGAGAGAGTGTGTGTGTGTGTGTGTGTGTGTGTGTGTGTGTGTGTGTGTGTGTGTGTGTTTGTTTGTTAAAGCTGAATAATTATATTTAAAAGCCAAATACAAAGATAAAATTCCAGTCTCCAGTGGACCAAGCAGATTAAAATGAGTCATTTCTCCCCTCCTGTTTTTTAAGTTAAATATCATGGTCAGCACTGACAGCTGTTCCTAGTTCCTGATCTGCTGCATTAAAATTAAATCTATGTTCTTTATTTTCCTTTGCGATGTTGAAATGCTGGTGCTGGAGGTCGTTTGATAACGAACGTGCTTAACTCAAGCTGAACAGCTCATCTGACTCTCTTAGGTGCAAACGTAATGATAACATGCATGCTGGAATAGGGCCTGCTGTTCTGTGTCGTGAAGTCTACGTTTCGGTGTTTTGTAACTCCCCGTTTTATTTTGATAGCATCTTGTCTCATGTGCGCTATATTTCGTTTTCCTTCCACTGTCTTGTCTTACCTTATTGGTTTCATCTGTGTCCCCTGGCGTTGCCTGGTCTTTTCCTGATTGCCATGTGTGTATTTTGGCTGTAGCCTCTGTTTCTGCTCAGTTCTCTGCGGTGTTTGTCCGCACTTGTTGTACCTTGTGAATTTTTTGTTTGTTTGTTTGTTTTTTGCGGTTTAGACGGACTTTTGTTACCGGCTGTTCTTTGGATTATCTGCTCTCCTAAATAAAGGTTCGTTTTTTGCTTATTTTACTCTGTTTCACTATTTTACTGGGGGTTTTTTTAGTCTGTTTTGGGGCCACGTTCTTCCACAACACAATAGACTTGCAAGGTTCTTGTGCATGCTCTATATAGCTCTGCACACCTGCGCACAGATTTAAAGACGGGCTGTGTAGTTGTGGTAGTTTGTTGCAGCTGTTTGAAATCTCTTTTGTCCCTGGAGCAGAGACGGTACATAATTTTGTTTCATGCTCTAAGGTTTCACTGAACCCGATACTATAATGCCAGTTCAACATACAGGATAGTTTTCCATTACCTGGATTGACTTTCCCTGACATTGGAAATTGGGATGAGCAGTTACACGAAGCTGGTTATCAGTTCGCCAAATTAACCCAGAGTGTTTCCTGCGCGTTCACATGAAATGGTGTTGTTGGCAGTATCTGACTAATCTAAAATGGCTGTTTCACAGATCATATGTATTTTTCGCCCACAGTAAACAATTTCTGTGAGTGCCACCAACAATTAAATGGTGATTAAAATTTAAGAAAATAATAAATAAATAATAAACGTTTAGTAAAATATCACGCTGTAAAAAGGACAAAAGATGAATTCTGCGTCAAACTGTTAATCTGGTGATTTAGGGCACAAAAATAAACATTTTAATGCAGTTAATTCTTATTATTGTCACTGAGTGCGTGCTCAGTGCTGTTTTTTCCCCTAAGGCGATGTCTGCACATTAGAGCTCTGAAACTTTAAACTGGCATTTAAACATTTAAGCCTACTCTACTTAAATGTTTAAATGGACTGTGCCAAAGTCTAATAACGCAAAACGCTTTAATTTGTCGCAGACCAAATGGAAATATATTTTATTGATTGGTCAGGAGTTCTTAGTGCTGTTGAGCAATCCCAGTAGAATAAAAGAAAGAAAGAAAGAAAAACAGCAGATAAGAATCAAGTATATCCGCATTTTATGTATTTTCTTAATCACCAAATGAATACATGCACATAATTCGACACGCAGTTTGCGCCTCATTTGGTGGTTTGAGTATGGTACGGCTTAACAAGCTGCACAACACATTCTCCTTGCAGAGTGCCGCACGAAGTGAAGACTCAGTGAAAACGTGGCTCTTCCAACCGATTTAAAACCGAAACTCTCGTATTGTTCTGCGATACTACAATCTATCCAATACCAAGTAAATACAAGTATTGCCAGTACCGATACGTTTAACTTATAAAGGCAGAGTGTAGAGAGAGTTCATCAATTTGCTAAATTCTGAACAAATTTTAATGAACACTGAATCTGTGATTTTTATAATCCGTGAACACAACAAGACACACCTTTCAGCTTTTTCTTGTATTTTGAAACACTTTGTTGTTCTTGGGTTTTATTGGAGACCTGGGCCCTATTTCAGGAAGCCGGTTTAGTGCAAACTCTGAGT